ATGTGAAACTGTCGCCACTTTCTTATTCAAAGGAGACCTCGCCATCCCTGGGGGGCTGCGATCTGTGACACTGTCGCCACTTTCGAGGCCTGCTGGTGGGCCCAGCACACTGGGTACTCACCGCAGACTCAAATGGGACCTCGCCATCCCTGGGGGGCTGCGATCTGTGAAACTGTCGCCACTTTCGAGGGCTGCTGAGGGGCCCAGCACAGTGGGCACTCACCGCAAACTCAAATGGGACCTCGCCATCCCTGGGGGGCTGCGATCTGTGAAACTGTCGCCCATTTCGAGGGCTGCTGAGGGGCCCAGCACAGTGGGTACTCACCGCAGGCTCATATTAGACCTCTCCATCGTTGGGGGGCTGCGATCTGTGAAACTGTCGCCGCTTTCGAGGGCTGCTGATGGGGCCCAGCACAGTGGGCTTCCCGCACGTCTTTCTCCTGCTCTTCGTTCCCGACTCCCCATGTCTTCTTCGAGCCTGTAGTTGTCGCCCCTCGTTCTTGTATGGTTCTCCTGCGCATCATGCCATTGGCGCGTGTCCCAAGTAGCTTACATATCAAACAACGGATCCTGCAGTTTGATGGTCCGTGCAAGTTTCGGCCAACTCCTCGTTTCCCATGATACAAAAGGGTTGGGTACGTCACAAGGTAATTTTTGAAGGGGAGGGTGTACCTTGTCGCGGGCGCCTCTGTGGAATGTCGCCCTCCACCTTAACACCCAGAACTAGCCTGGCGAAGGACCCAACCATATGCAGTTGTGAGTACCGCCTTTGTGAGCAACGCATTCGGTGGGGCTCCCTATGGGGCCACGAATTGTTATCCTGGGCGGGGAGACGCATGCGAATGCAGCCAGTGGGGCCTTCGGTGGAGCTCCCCATGGGGCCACGAGACGCTGTACTGGGTGGCGCGGACGCATGCGAACCCTGCCATTGAAGCCTTCGGTGGAGCTCCCTATACGGCCACGAAACGCCGCCCTGCGTGGGGGAGACGCATGCGAACACCCCGGTTGAGGCCTTCCGGGGAGCTCCCTATGGGGCCACGAAGCGCTGTCCTGAGCGGGGGAGACGCACGCAAACACTCTCAATGGGGCCTTCGGTGCAGCTCCCTATGGGGCCACGAAACGCTGTCCCCCCACTGGAGCTTTCGGTGGAGCCCCCTTATGGGACCACGAAACGCTGTCCTGGGTGGGGGGGACGCACGCTAACACCCCGATTGAAGCTTCCGGTGGAGCTCCCTATGGGGCCAAGAAACGCTGTCCTGGGTGAGGGAGACGCATGCGAACACCCCCACGGGAGCCTTCGGTGGAGCTCCCTATGGGGCCACGAAACGTTTTCCTGGGTGTGGGGGAGACGCATGCGAACACCACCAGTGGGGCCTTCGGTGGAGCTCCCTATGGGGCCACGAAACGCTGTCTTGGGTGGGGCAGACGCATGCAAACATTCTCAATGGGGCCTTCGGTGCAGCTCCCTATGGGGCCACGAAACGCTGTCCCGGGTGGGAGACGCATGCGAACACCCCCACTGGGGTTTTCGGTGGAGCTCCCTATGGGACCACGAAACGCTGTCCTGGGCGGAGGAGACGCACGCGAACGCCCCCATTGCGACCTTCGGTGGAGCTCCCTATGGGGCCACGAAACGCTGTCCTGGGTTGGGGAGACGCATGCGAATACCCCGATTGAGGCCTTCGGTGGAGCTCAATATGGGGCCACGAAACGCTGTCCAGGGTGGGGGAGACGCATGCAAACACCCCGATTGAAGCCTTCGGTGAGGCTCCCTATGGGGCCACGAAAGACTGTCCTGGGTGGGGGAGACGCATGCGAACACCCCTACTGGGGCCTTCAGTGAAGTTCACAATGGGACCACGAAACGCTGTCCTGGGCGGGGGAGACGCATGCGAGCACCCCCAGTGGGGCCTTCGGTGGAGCTCCCTATGGGGCCACGAAACGCTGTCCTGGGTGGGGGAGACGCATGCGAACACCCCGATTGAGGCCTTCGGTGGAGCTCCCTATGGGGCCACGAAACGCTGTCCTGGGTGGGGGAGACGCATGCGAACGCCCCCAGTGGGGCCTTCGGTGGAGCTCAATATAGGGCCACGAAACGCTGTCCTGGGTGGAGGAGACGCATGCGAACACCCCCACTGGGGCCCTCGGTGGAGCTCCCTATGGGGCCACGAAACGCTGTCCTCGGTGGGGGAGACGCATGCGAACACCGCCACTGTGGCCTTAGGTGGGGCTCCCTGTGAGGCCACGAAACGTGCGAGGGGTGTGACGACATGGGCGGTGGGGACGATGATGGGATGATGAGGAGGATGTGGCTGAGGATGATGCTGCAGATGATGATGCTGATGGATGATGGGTGACGGTGATGATGGTGACGCAGGTGTAGGGAGAGGGAGGGGATGATGATGATGATGATGATGATGATGATGCTGATGATGATGATGCTGATGATGCTGATGATGCTGATGATGCTGATGATGATGATGGTGATGATGATGATGATGATGATGATGATGATGATGATGATGATGATGATGATGATGAATGATGATGATGATGATGATGATGATGATGATGATGATGATGGTAATGGGAGGGGAGGAGGAGGAGGAGGAGGAGGACGAGGACGAGGAGGAGGAGGAGGAGCAGGAGGAGGGGGAGGATCAGAAGGAGAGGAGAGGAGAGGAACGCGGGGCGCTGTCTCTTCAAAACGAGGACCCAACACCACAGGATGGTTGGGAAAAATCCCCGGATAGGCACACACACACGCACACACCGTATTCGTTTGCATGGATTTTTGGCTGACACGCCTGGCCCTGGTGGACACTTGTCCTAAAGGTGGATAAGTGCCAGGGCCGCCGATTCAAGCTGGAGGAGAAGGGGGGGGAGAAGGAGGAGGAGGAAGAGGAGCAAGAGGAGGAACAGGGAAGTGCCCCGCCGTGGAAGCCCCTACGGCAAGGCGAGCGAGCGCACAGCGGGGCCGCGCCCACGCCCGGGACGGAAAGAGGCCATGAACAGCAGAAGGACGAGCGGGAGGATCAGCTTCGCTGTCTCAGAGCACGCGCCGTTCTCCTCCTCCTCCTCCTCCTCCTCCTCCCCCATTCCTGTTCCTCTTTTTTATATATATATATATATATATATATATATATATATATATATAATATATATATAAAAAAAACAAAAAACAAAAAACAAAAAACAAAAAAAAAAAAAAAAAAAAAAAAAACTTCTCCCTGTCGCACCCTAAGGACAGTTTTTAGGGCGGGCCGGGCGTTTCGCCTGAGACTTCCTCTCCATGTACGACTCTGGAGCTTAAAATGTGGCAACGGCTTCACTAATGGAGAGCGGGCCATTTTCAAAATATGGCTCTCGCCATAGCGCCGCACACATTTGGTTTAATGATTTGCAAAAGTTTTACGGATTGAAAGCGAATGGTTTTCGAAATGTTGCTCCCGCCTTAGCACCGCGCATACTCGTTGCAAGAATGAACAAGAGCTTCACGGATTGAGAACGGATGGTTTCCCAATGGTGGCTCCCGCCTTAGCGCCGCGCATATTCGTTGTAAATATGTTCAAGAGCTTCACAGATGGAGGGCGGGTCGCGCACATTCGTTGCGAATATTTGCAAGAGCTTCACAGATGGAGGGCGGGTCGTTTTCAAAATGTGGTTTTCGCCTTAGCGCCGCGCACGTTCTTTGCAAAAACTTGCAAGAGTTTCACGGATTGAGGGCGGTTCCTTTTCAATATGTGGCTCTCGCCTTAGCGCCGCGCACATTCGTTCATAAGCTTTGCAAGAGCTTCACTGATTCCCACGGTCAACGTACCAGAAATTGTGTGTTGGAAGGAATCTGGATTTCGCGGTGCAAGAGCTACACTGATTCGCGGTGTTGAAGTCCCACGAATGGCGTTCTGGCACAATTCAAGATCGCCAAGACGCAACAGTCAGGTTGGTCCGTGACATTGGAATCCCGAGAACAATGTTTTGGCATGCTTCAGGGTCTTCAAGCGGTTGTCGTCCAACGAGGCAGTTCCATAATCAATGGAAATGAACCGGTGTATGGGCCTATGAAGAGGGAGCTTGGAGGCAGGGTGTATGCCAACATCGTTTATGACTTTTGGGTTTACACTGGTCCTCCTCCTCCTCCTCCTCCTCCTCCTCCTCCTCCTCCTCCTCCTGAGGGGGCTTGGCACGATCGGTGGCCTTTGGAGCACGGCGTGCCGATCGTTGCGTGCGATGCGGCAGTAGAGGCTTGCGTGCTTGGGCTCGCCCACCCAAGGTCACCCTGGCGAAGGGTCACACTCTTAAGCGCAGCAGAGATCAGAGGATAAGAGATCATCATCGCGGGGGCACCTGCTGTCAGTCTGGTCTCGTAAGCGGCGTGGCTGCTGTGTTGACACCGTCTCTCCTCCAGTTCCTCCCCTGGCGATGGAAACAGCCACCGAGGAGGGGGCTCGTAGGGTGCCCGACGCTGGGGGGAAGCTGGGCTCGCGGCCGACGTAAGGCGGGGGAGGAGGGGCGAGGAGCGGCAGGAGATGGAAGCTGGCAGGAAATGGAGGTGGGGCGGGGAGGGGGGGGGCAGCAGAGGGGGGAGCGGGATAAGGCGGAGGATGACCCTTTCCCGAACCATGGGGAGTTGCCCTCGCAGTGGCGTGCAAAGCGATAGAAACGAGCGCCCACATTCTATCACCATGGAGGCGAGGCGGAGATGAAGCGAGGAGTAGAATGAGATAAAGAAAGAGAAAAAGAGAGAGATGGGCGGGGGAGAGAGGGCAAGCCGACGGACCCAGTCACGGCTCATGGCTCCGTGGACCAGCGAACCAGGGGCAGGGGACGATGGTGCAGCGTGCATTCGGAAGAGCAGCGGCCCGCGGGAACCCAACCTCGTGAGCCCTAGAACGCCTGAGACGGCGCGCGCAACTACATAAAGTAAGTGCCCACCCCCGCCCATGGCCACTCTCGCCCATCGCCGCCTCAAGCGCTGCCACTGATTGGTCCTGGTGGCGTCAGACAGTCTCGGAGAGCAGAGATCCTCCAAAATTGCCGAGCACGGTGATGCGCCCTTTGTTCTCTGGGCAAAACGCGGAGGCGATGACGTAGAAACCGAAGTCGGCGAGGATTACGAAGTGCAGAAGGTGGGCCACCGACGCGAAGTGTGGCTCGTGGTGAGCGATCGCTAGGTAGGCGGTGGCCACATCCTCGACGACGTAGAAGCCGACCACCAGGATGCCAAACGCAAGCGCGTTCACGTTGCACTCCTGCGGGTCCACTGGCTGCGACAAATGGTCCTTCCTCCCGTATCGTATGACCGCCAGCACCCCCTGCAAGAAAGCAAGCACCTCCAGATCGTCCGACGTCATGGAACCGATCAGGGCAGGATGTACCAATAAAGATCCGTTCACCACCAGTTCTGTAGCCTGCGCAGCACAAAAGGCCAGAGCTGTCAGCACGGCGATGTCGACGTGATGGCGGATGCTAGATAGCTGCTTGGTGTAGGCTAAGCCCATTGCGATCCATGAAGAAACGACACCAACTATGTTGCCCCAAGTGTTGAGGGCTCCTGGAGGCAACGCGCGCGACATCATACATGCGACCCGCATGGACAGGAAGAGAGCATGCATGAGAGACGCCTTGAGGCCAAACTTCCTGAACACCGCGTTGGGTCTTGGCACTTCGAGATCGTGGCATCGACGCACGAGGTAGGAACCATGCTCATCGTCACTACAATCAGAAACTCATAGAAGTGGGGGTCCCTCTGCTCAAAGGCGAAGTGGTAGGACAGGGCCATTCAGAATGCCAGACACAAGATAACGCAGGGAAGCAGCATCGAGTTCTGCCTAATCATGCGGTGGATGTTCTGCAAAAGCTGCACCACCATTGCGTTCGAGGCGCGCAGAATAACACGGCGGGAGACGACGGGGATGGAGGGGCAGCCACGAAAGAGCACTTGAGACAAGGGGGAGGGGGAGGAGCAGGCAAGGCAGAGACACTGGCGCAACGGCCGTCGCTCCACTCGCTCCCTCCTGGCACCCAGTCTGCTCGGGATGTTCATTTGCCCCCACCCGACCGCACGCACGTCTCCCTTGGGACGGTACGTGTCAGAAGGCACGACGTTGCCGCCGCCGCCGCCGCCCGGCCCTGAGCGGCCAAGAAGACGCCGCCGACGACGACGACGACGACGACGACGACGACGACGACGACGACGACAACGACGCCGCTGGCCCTCGGCTGGCCATCTGGACCCCCCGCGGGGGGCCTCTGGATCGGCGCTGGTGTGCGCGGCGGGCGGCCGTCCGACAGTCTGTGCATCCTGGGGCGCCCAGCGCGGATCTGGGGGCCACGCCACCTGTCGCCGAGGGGAGAGGCGCGGGGCGAGGCCGAAGACGAGGCCGACGGCGATGGCGGCGACAGCCAGCGACGGTGGCAGCGAGTGGCAGGGACAGCGGCGGCATCAACGACTGCGACGACGATGGCGGCGACGAGGCAAACGAGGACGAGAACGGGAGCCAGGAAAATCTGGAGGGCGCCAAAAAGGCAGGACGGAGTATTTGGATGGGGTCGGGGGGTCGCGCCGCATCGCCGATACATCAACGACGTCGGGGGGGCTCCAGATCCCGCCGCATCGGCGATGCGGCGCGATCATCCGACAGGGAGAATCGACTCTGGCGGCCTTCAGGGACTTCCGCAAATCTTTGGTAGGCAGACTGAGAAAGATCCGCCACTGTGCCGCTAGGCACGGAATGGGCGTGTTCTCAGGTCCTGTGCCTAATCCCTGAAGCACTACTGAGGAGTCCTCGAAGGACGCGGACACCAAATTCTCAAATGTCGCGGGGCGTGCCGCGAGTGACCTTTTGGGGCCCTTTGGGGCCCAAGAGGCCCCGAAGACGCTCCAAGAGGGCCCCGAGTCGCCGAACGATGCTCCAAGACGCTCAAAATGGCCCCCGGACGGCCCAAGAGGCACCCAAGGCCTCCAAGAGGCCTCCCAAGCAGACCTCAAGAGGCCAACGATTTGCCTTCGGATTTTGAAAGACTTTGGCGTTCTCGTCTTTTCGGCTTTTCGACGTTCCACGTCGGCCCAAGAGGCCCCCAAGACCACCCAAAGACGGCGCAAGAGGCCTCCAAGATGACCCCAAGACGGCCTAAGAGGCGCCCACGACGGCCCAAGAGGGCCCCAAGATGGCCCCAAAAAGGGCAGGAGAGAGGGAACACGAACCGAACATCCGAGCCTTCCGCCCCAAAAGGTCCCCAGGAGGCTTCTAGAGGCGCCCAAGAGGCCACAAGAGGCCTCCAAGAGATCACCAAGAGGGCCCCAAGAGGTCCAAAAAGGCACAAAGGGGCCCCAAAACGGCCCCCAAGGGGCCTCAAAGAGGCCTCCAAGAGGCACCCAAGAGGCCTCCCACGAGATCCCAACGAACATCCACTAGGCTTCATACCCACAACCCTCAACCCAGGCGCTGTGGCAGGATCGGCCGAAGGTCATTGAATAAGAATCAACTGCAGAGAGGGGAAGCAGTTGTGCAATCAGCAGAGCTCAGGTCGGTGCACCTACGATGGTGCACACTCACAGGTCGACAGCCCCGCGAAACCGAGCCAAACTGGAGTCTGGCCCAGACCCCCTTGCTCCTAGCGGACTGACCCGAAGATCACACTGTGTGTACTGAGCACTAGCCGGTTGAAGACTGTAGCCGATACTTTTTTGTTCAAGTCAGCGGGCGCAAGAGCGCGGAAGCGGTCAGGCGCTGGTCGGGCCAAAGGCGGGGCGCGCCGAAGCAAATCCGGGCACAACGTGAAGGGGAGAAGGGGCAAAGGCCCAAACCCGCAATATTAAAGGATGTATAACGTGTTTCGCATGACCCCCAAGAGGACCCCAAGAGGCCCCAAGGTGCGCCGAAGACGCCTCGAACAAGCCCCCAGGTTTCCCTCCAGGAGGCAGGCACCAACACAGGCAATGTGGCGGGGTGGGACGAAAGCCATTAGATAAGAAGAGCAAAAGCGATACGAGTGCGAACAAAAAACAATGATGCCAGCGCGTGGATCCAAAGCATAATAGCATTGCGCTGCCATTGTGACAGCTACGGGGTCCAAACTATAAGGCGTAACTCATATACAAATATTCATAGAAACAGGGAGGAAAGAACGGCCATCATTATTCGAGCGAAGTTCAACACATAAGGACGTGAAAAGCTTCGTGGGATCAACGGGTTTTATTCCCCACATCCAAAGTGGGGCTCTTGTTTTCTCTGGGCACCCTCCGCGCAAGAACCTCCCTCCCACTCTCCGCCTCCCTCATGCATTCACCCCGTCATCGGTCATCATCCCCATCGGTCATCATCATCACCACCACCATCATCATACTCAACCACTCACCATCGACCACCATCACCATCGGCCATCGATCATCATCATCATCATCATCATCATCATCATCATCATCATCATCATCATCATCATCATCATCAGCATCAGCATCAGCATCAGCATCACCACCACCGCCATCATCATCATACTCAGTCGCGCATCACACACACACACACACACTCTCGATCATCACTCAGCATAATGTGCCTGAGGCCTGGATATGGGGGAAGTGTCAGGCGGGAGCCTCGTCCATGAGTGAATTGCGAGGAAATCGCGGGAGTCCTCTCCCTATGGGGCCCGCATGTCACGTTTCTAATCCGAGCGGGTCATCCTCGAACCTGTAACTGTCGTCACGTTTGGGCTCCTGAGGCCTGAATGTGGGGGAAGTATCAGGCGGGAGCCTCGCCTGTGAGTGAATTGCGAGGAAGTCTCAGGCGGGAGCCCTCTCCCGATGGGGCCCGCACTCCATCTTTTTTTTTATCCGAGCGGGTCATCCTCGAACCTTTAACTGTCGCCACGTTTGGGCTCCTGAGGCCTGAACATTGAAAAGTATCAGGCGGGAGGCTAGTACGTGAGTACATTGTATAGAAATATCAGGCGGGAGCCCTCTCTCCCTATCGGGCCCGCACTTCATGTTTCTAATCCGAGCGGGTCATCCTCGAACCTGTAACTGTCGTCACGTTTGGGCCCCTGAGGCCTGAACATGGGGGGAAATATCAGGCGGGAGCCTCGTCTGCGAGTGAATTGCCAGGAAGTCTCAGGCGGGAGCCCTCTCCCTATCGGGCTCGCACTTCATGTTTTTTAATCCGAGCGGGCCATCCTCGAACCTGTAACTGTCGTCACTGTTGGGCCCCTGAGGCCTGAACATGGGGGAAGTATCAGGCGGGAGGCTCGTCTGTGAGTGAATTTCGAGGAAGTCTCAGGCGGGAGCCCTCTCCCTATAGGGGCCCGCACTTCGTATGTTTAATCCGAGCGGGCCATCCTCGAACCTGTAACTATCGTCACGTTGGGACTCCTGAGGTCTGAATATGGGGGAAGTGTCAGACGGGAGGCTCGTCTGTGAGTGAATTGCGATGAAATCTCAGGCGGCAGCCCTCTCCTTATGGGGCCCGCACTTTACGTTTTTAATCCGAGCGGGTCATCCTCGAACCTGTATCTGTCGTCACGTTTGGGTTCCTGGGGCCTGAATGTGGGGGAAGTATCAGGCGGGAGTCTCGCCGATGAGTAAATGTCGAGGAAGTCTCAGGCGGGAGCCCTCTCCCTATGGGGCTCGCACGTCATGCTTTGAATCCGAGCGGGTCATCCTCGAACCTGTAATTGTCATCGCTTTTTGGCTCCAGGGGCCTGAATATCGAAAAAGTATCAGGCGGGAGGCTCGTCTGTGATTCAACTTCGGGGAAGTCTCAGGCGGGAGCCCTCTCCCTATGGGGCTCGCACGTCATGCTTTGAATCCGAGCGGGTCATCCTCGAACCTGTAATTGTCATCGCTTTTTGGCTCCAGGGGCCTGAATATCGAAAAAGTATCAGGCGGGAGGCTCGTCTGTGATTCAACTTCGGGGAAGTCTCAGGCGGGAGCCCTCTCCTTATGGAGCTCGCATTTCATGTGCTATAATCCGGGCGGGTCATCCTCGAACCTGTATCTGTCTTCACTTGTGGGCCCCTGAGGCCTAAATAATGATAAGTATCAGGCGGGAGGCTCGTCTGTGGGCGAATTGCGATGAAATCTCACGCGGGAGCCACCTCCCCTATAGGGCCCGCACTTCACGTTTCTAATCCGAGCGGGTCATCCTCGAACCTGCAACTGTCGTCACTTTTGGGCCCCTGAGGCCTGAATATGGGGGAAGTATTAGGCGGGAGCCTCGTTTGTGCGTGAATTGCGAGGAAGTCTCAGGCGGGAGCCCTCTCTCCCTATGGGGCTCGCACTTCATGTTTTTTTTATCCGAGCGAGTCATCCTCGAACCTGAAACTGTCGTCACTGTTTGGCTCCTGAGGCGTGAATATGGGTGAAGTATCAGGCGGAAGCCTCGTCTGTGAGTGAACTGTGAGGAAGTCTCAGGCGGGAGCCACCTCCCTACATCGGCGCTACGAAATGTTTGACCCGCTTTGTGTTTTCAGCTACACAACGCCTGAGCATCACATTGGTTATAAACACCACGACGGCCGTGAGCATCACTCCAAAGCCTGAGAGCACCACAGAACCTATGAGCAGCCGGGCGCCGACAATCACCTTGACGCTAGCACCCCCGTGGCGGGAGCGCCATTTCGAGTTCGAACGGAACAAATGCCGAATCTCAGTTTGCAGGAAGTCCTGTGCGGGAGCGCCATTTCGAAATCGAGGCAGAAAGGTTTCGATTACTATGTTTGAGGAAGTCCTGTGCGGGAGCACCATTTCGAAATCGAAGCAGAAAGGTTTCGAATTCTACTTTTGCGGAGGTCCTAGGTGGGAGCGCCATTTCGAAATCGAACCCGAAAATTTCGAAATCGTTCGAAATCGTTGTTTCGAGGAAGTATCAAGCGAAACCGCCGTTTCGAAATGGCCACATTGTTTGGCATTTAAAAGTTTAAAAGCCCTGACCCGAAAACTCGAAAATGCAGCTTTCGCTCAGGACTTCCTCCCCAAAACGAGCTCGACTGGATTTCGAAACCCTCGGGCTCGATTTCGAACTGTGGCTTTCGCCTAGGACTTCCTCCCCAAAACGAGCTCGACTGGATTTCGAAACCCGCGGGCTCGATTTCGAAAAGGCGGTGCCGCCCGAGACTGGAGCGAAAAATGCTTCAACCGAACATTGTACTGGGGCCCCGCGGCCTAACGGGCCCACTGCCAACGTTGTACTGGGGCCCCGTCGCCTAACGGGAGGCGTTGAATTTTGGCCGAACCTTCGTAGCGGCGAAGTATGGGGCTCGCACTTCATGTTTTTTTCCCATATCCTAAGATGGGGTTCTTGTTATTACTTGGAGGCCTCCTACTTCCTCTCCTCCTCCTCCTCT